CACACCTAATGGAATGGATATGAGCAACACATCTCGAAGAACAACAGTTACAACGGTGAGTAACCGTCTTTTCTTTCCACCTCCACTCCCCGCCCGTCCCCACACACATTCAATAGGTACAGATGCATAATATATCCTGTACCATTAATATGGACAAACTAAGGGCATGTGTACATGGTGGAATAATGTGCTCTCTGGGGATGTGCTTTTTGTTGTGCATTAATTGATACTGTTTCAAACAGCACTACATTAAAGAGCACTAGAAAACTTTTAGTGCGCACCAGCAAGGTCTAAATGGACCAAGTAATGCGCAACATGTTAGTGGACTTAGAAATCACACCCTCATACTGTGCATTACCTCACTGTGTAGACAAGCTATAAGAAAATAATTGAACAGGAATTCAAAAATCAATAGAACCCTGTTTAAAAACCTCTAGATTAATAACCTCACAAGAAAATCTGCACAACTCATACTTAAGAGGAGGCAGATTTCTGCCAAGGAACTGGATCTGACCTGAGAAACAGAAAAATGGGATTGTGACAGTGTTATGCTGTGATGTTATTAAAAAGTTTTCTGTCAAAAGCACCAACTCCCAATGAAAATCTCTCCCTAAAAGCTGTGATGAATTAGTATGGGAGCTTGTAAATAATATATGATCACAGAATATTTTTCTGTTTTTTGTAAACCAGTTTCTTGTCCTCCTGATACTGAGATAATTAAATGTTTTAAAAAGTACAGAGATTCGTATTGGAGAAGAGAGGGGACTAGAGATGCATCATCTGTGTAAAATTAGCAAGATTACTTGTTTGGCCATACTTGGCCAAAAAACACATTTGGAACAGCTGACCAAAATTAGGAACATAGCAGCATTCAGTAGAATTGTAAAATGTGAAAGGAATTTCTGTAGTTTTCTTTAATAAATCAAATACTGTTACAACTTCCAGAAATGCAAACTGGGGCTTTTTATGGGTGATAGAGGAGCTCGATGCTGTGGAGTGAGACATACTGAAGGGACAGTTGACAATTGGAGGCTCATTTATTCTTGCGTTGCTGCTGTGTCATTCTTGCACGTGATATCGGTTAATTTTTACCCAGTTGGATAAGGATTGCATGTGCCTGGTTATGACTAAAACAAAAACAGCCTTCCATTTTAGTTTAACATATTGTTAGGTTTAGATTTGTAGTTAGTTAAAGGAGGAAAATTTAGTGCTATAAGTGGCATTATTTTCTGTTTGGGGTTGGGATATTTGTGGGGAGGTAGGACAAAAGGTGCAAAGGAGAGAATATAATCTTAGGTCACAAACCCATAGCTATTTACTAATGTGTATTATCTGGGTCTGGTTTCTTTTTAATCAGTTTCGGTGTAGCTGAAAAATGGGTAATAACATATATTACATGAAAATAAACAAATATACTCATCAGAAATTGGTTACTATTTTCTTTCCTAGTAGTCTAGAATGTAATACACAAACAAATTGTGTATTTTTTGTAGGTGGAAGGGGAAAATAAGCATCTATTCTTATCCTTAAAAATTATTGATAGTTGTTGCACAACAGGGTGGGAGCAGGGATGTTGCATGTTTCTTGATATGTTTATTTTCACTTCTCTTTCTTTTACTGGTTCACATCACTGCTCATTCCCGCTCTTCCTGCATGATAATAAATGGTGCCTTTTCCTCTTCTTCCTTTTTCTTTCATTTTCCCACTTCTCCTCCCCCATTCCTTCATTTTCACAGCATAATGTTTCTGTGGGACATCCCATCAAGCAGTCCAAGCGTCACATTGACTTCACAGAAGAGGAGGCTGAGCTGACTCCTGTAAGTTATAACGTGTCTGTCTGTCTCTCTCCTTTTTGTGCGCCTGTGGGTATACCAGTGCCCCTTGTAACTAGAAACTGCATCAGTGATTTGAGCCTTATACATTAACACCTCAGCAATGGAGACTGTAGTGAAGCCTGTATCATAACCTGTAACTTTTTGCAGACTTCCTTATAGTTGATCCTTACCTATCCTCTAGCAATTAATTCCCAAATGTACTAGTTTGAGTAAGCTATTTACACACTCTAGCTAAAACCGTGTGTTAAGCCTGATTGCTGCTAGCAAAGCTTCAGCCATTCCCAAGGAAGGGTGCAATATGAGATTTCTCCACTAGTTGCGTTCTAGGATTTATAATAATGATACCTCGCTCTTATACAGTGCTTTCCATCCATAGATCTCAAAGAGCTTTACAAAGGAGGTCAGTGGCATTATTCTGGTTTTACAGATGGGGATGCTAAGGCATATGGAGGTCACCCAGCAGGCTAGTGGCAGAACCAGGACTAAAGTCTTCTCAGTATTTATTTATAACAATAGAATAAAAGTATAAAAACTCAGTTTGGTAGGCAAGTCTGTCTACAGAATTTAATGTATTTAAACTTATTTACATTTTTTTAGTCTCTTTCAAATTAGACATTTTTTCTTCTGAAGAATAGGAAATACTATTACAATTTGAAATTACAGTACAGTGACCTTTACCCGGATTTTTTAAGAGTGTCAAAATGTGGGTTTTTCTTATGTCACTGTTTCTGGTCCCATCCCCTTTCTAAATTTTTATCTCTGAGAACAGATATGATTTAAAAATGGAATTGTAAAACATCTTTCTAGTTCTTGCAACGAATCTGTAAAGCATAAATTGCACAACAATGCCCTCAACTGGCTAAATTAGGTAAACAATTTAGTATTCATAATATATTTTAATAGGGCTTGATAAGCCCAGAGAATCTTGTGAAAATAGAATATTATTTAGATTCGATACGTAGGTTTTCTGCTTCACTCATAAAAATAAAGTTTAAAAAAAAATCCAAGACCTGATCAGTCATGTTAGTCTTTGGAAAAACTTCTGGTGAAAAACCATTTATTCGTAACCCAGTGTTTTCCATGGGTGTTTTTCAGGATTCTTCCTTTTGGTAAAGTCATTGTAGAAGATAAGTTAGACAAGAGCACAGCAAATGTAGATATCCTAGTAATAGATGAATTTCTATATAAAAGGAATTAATCAGTCAACTGGATAATGGCATACGGTACTCTAGCTTTAGTAAAATTATTCACATGTATAGAACAATTACTCTGTGAATGAAAATATACAGAAAAACTTATGGGTTTTCTCCTCGCCACGCTAAGTAGGAACTTTTCTGTGTTAGTCATTTGGGTTTTTTGTTGTTCTTGATGTTCATTCTTTCTTCAATCTGTATATTGACTTAGTTCTTATTTTTTAAACATCTGATTAATGGCTTTACTGTTACTATTTATTCATGCAAAATTTGTGGTTAGGTTTTTTTTGTCTACAATATTTGTGATCTTTGTCATTGGTAAATATCTTTTGCTCTGATGTGCTGTTGTTTTCCATCTGTCTAAGTAACAGACCAAGTGCAAACTTTGCAGTAAGATTACAGAATGGCTGGGCAGTGTGTAGCTCTAAACATCTTTTATGATTTTTTTTATAGTGTATTTGAAAAAATTGCTTTGTAAATTTCAATAGCCTTATGTTGTCACTGCAGTATATTTCTGTAGATTTGAATGCAGCAGCACTGACTGTATTTTAAAGGAAAAAGTTTAGTGGGGACCTCCTCCATTTACAATGTAAATGACTTCATAAGAAATGTAGCAAGATGTTCTGCTGTTCCTGAGATCCACACATTTTCCATGTACTGGGGTGAATCATTCTATAAAGAGACCCTTAAGAGGATGTTGTCTATCTAAAGCCTGTTTGAAGTTTCATATAGATTAAATCTACTTTGTAACAGAAAGCTAAGAATAGCAAGTTAGAGTAAGTTCTTAAGAAATTTCAGAAGATTTGGGGGGGAAGAATTGTGAAATTTGCATCAAACTGTTAATTACGTATTGTCTGTAGGAAAGTGTAAAGAACATGTAAACTTATCTGTTGACAGTAGTACAGTATTTTAATATTTGGATAATGTAAAGTCTATAAATCTTTCAAATAATACATAATTAAATATAACAGATGTATTTAAGGATCATAATTTAACATAAGTTTTCATAGGTATATTCCACCTATTTCTGAATGGAGAGATTGCTCCATATAGTATCCTTCAAGTCTCTAACTTCAAAGGAGCAAGCTCCTTAGATAAAGGAACTGATATGAAATAAGCAGCTCATTTGCATTGCAGCCCTAGTTAACTTCTGGGTTTTCATGTCTAATAATAGTGTGTATGTAGGCTTGAAAGGATTAGTTTTTTGTCGGTAAATGTCAATTTCCCTGTATACACACAAACCAGTGAAAAAGTATTTCCATTGATCATCGAAATCTACTTTTGGGCAAAGTAAGAAAAATGTTGCTTGACAATTCTAGTGTTTGATTTAAGGATATTTACTTTTTTGACAGGTGATGTTGACAATTTGTGATTTAACGGTTATAAAGCTATAACTTTTTGAATCTCAATGCCTACTGACATTAAATAATTGTGTGACCTTCCATGCCCCCCCATTGTCCAATTTTTACAGTGCTTTCCTGCAATTCTGAAAATTTAAATATATAAAAATTGGGATAAAAAGCTTAAAAGCCATAATTTTGCACAGCTGTGAAAATTTAAATAGATAAAAATAGGAAAAAAAGCTTAAAATATATATCAATATCCGTTGAAATTATTAATTCTGCCAATCTTAAGTGTATGGCATGTTGTGTAGTAACTCTGAGCACCATATACTTGCAAGATGCAGTATTTTATGTGCATATTTTAAAAGCAGCTTTTTTCTAAAGAATTCGGTTTGTAAATAAACAGGTTGACATACAGACATATTTTGTCTATATGTATAAATTTGCTACCCATGAGGCACGTTTTAGACATTTGACTGGGAAGAAGTAATCCATTCCATTTGTGTGTGAAACACTTTAGTGTTTGTTGGAATTTCATACAGCCTTTTTTTTTTTAACTTAAACTTGAAGTCTGTTCTCCTCTTGAGCCCTACTAACCTCAGGAATTAAAAACAGTCCATTGAGCTTATTAAAAGGAAACTGCCATTCTTTGTGAAAGGGGAGGGAAACTGTTTATTTTTGGATATTTGAAAGATTTTCTGTTGCAGTTCAATACACTTCAACACAGTACTTTCCAGTAATCATCATCTTGCTATGTGCAAGTCCTCTGAGTCCATCTGTTTTGTCTTGTCTAACAAAGACTTCCTTACAATTTTGTCTCATGTTTATTTTTGGGAAAGCTAAAACTCTTACTAGAATCTTCAGAAGTCTTAGATGATTCATAAATATCCCTTTGAGACAGATGGGAGTGTCTTTTTTGTTTTTGTTTATAAATTGAGATTAATATAAATATTTGCAGTCTCAGATCTGTTCTTTGTTTATAGCAAAGAAAAAATATGAAGCAGACCAACTCCATTCCTTTCTTTCAAATAAGTTAAGACTACCAAATTGTAACTGAGTATTTAGCTACCATGGAAGGAGAAATTGTCAATACCAGTACACGGGCAAAAGATTTGTGGTACAGCTAATAATGTTGCTTGACACATACATTAGTTTTAATTACATTCTTACAAGAAAACACTGAGTAAAATGGTACATATGACCTTTTATCTTATGTAGCTGTTAAGTGTATGTAAACAGTAGGGTGGAAGTGTTTTGTATAGAAGTTTATATTCTAAATGCTTGAAAACATGCTTGGTCATTCTGCACTGTAGTTATAAATGTTTGCAGTATTTGTGAATAGGAGCAAATAGAGTTGTAGCATTGAATTCTCTTCCTAGAATAGCATAAAAATCCAGTGTTTGTGTGGCGGGCTCTTTGAAAATATTATAAAATGCTATACCCAACAGCTGGTCCATGAACCCCTCCTGGTATGTAGGCCTGAAGATAATGGATGTCCCTTTCTTTCAAGGAAGGAAGGAATGCAGGAAATCTTTTGAAGTCCTAAAAGTAATTTGGAACAAAGTACATAGGACATGTTTTTATGAACATCAAGGCAAGCTGTTTTTTATTGAATGAACTATATGTGAAAAGTATTTTACATTTAAAAAATATATTTATTGAAATTAAAAGGAACTTAATGTCCATTTTATTCAAACTTAGCTCTTGTAAATAAAACCTGTGGTTGATTCGTGGAATGTGATGTGTTAACACATTTGCGTGCTTAAATCTATTTATTTATTTATTTATTTTACTGCTTGTGTTTGAGATTAAAGTTTAATTTTGGTAGAGTTATTAGCGGTATCCCCTATTTCTGTATTTATTTGATTTTCAGATCTTTGGATTAGATTTGCAGTTAAGGGATTTTTATGCATGTGATAGCTTGCAATATTTTTCATTTTTGTAATTTTAAGGGTTATTGTGAAGGATATGGATTAGGTTTTTATAAATCTTTTATCGGATGAGAATATTTGGTTAGAGAATCTTGGTTTTGATTTGAATCATTTTTGATATAGTGTTCATTTTATGGTATCTAAGTGCAACTTGTAAAGTTAGAACTTGCAAAAATTGAAATACTATTAACAAAAAACTTAATGTAGCTTGAATTGCCTGTTCAGATACATTATATATATCATTATATATATTCATTTTGTACATTTTCTGTTTTTAATTTCACTCATTTGTTTTCTTCTCACCATATGTTTCCTTTTGCATCTATCCCTGGCCTTTTAAAATAAATTTTAAAGAAGGAAAGTATTTAAAAATTGTTTGACAATTTATTCTTTATTGTGCTAAACATAGTGAGTTCCTTTTGTGTGTGTTGTAAACATGGCCCCTGAAAAACGAGTGCTTCTGGTAAGAAGATCAGCTACAAGCATATATAATGCTGACTTGTAAAATCAGTCAT